CTACTTACTACTGCTTACTACTACCTACTACTTGCTACTACTTACTACTACTACTACTACTACTACTACTACTACTACTACTGCTGCTCCTGCTCCTGCTCCTGCTCCTGCTCCTGCTCCTGCTCCTGCTGCCGCTCCTTCTGCTGCAATGGTACTTGTACCAGTACCAGTACCGGCACCACTACCATTATCACTAACAGCACCAGCACGTGTACTACTCCTCCTACTACTACTACTACTACTACTACTTCTACTAGTATTACTACTACTACTACTACTACTGCTGCTACTACTACTACTACTACTACTACTACTACGACTACTACTACTACTACTACTACTACTACTACTACTACTAGCACTCCTCATCCTACTCCTAATCCTACTCCTACTCCTACTCCTACTCCTACTCCTACTCCTACTCCTACTCCTACTCCTACTCCTACTCCTCCTTCTCCTCCTCCTCCTGCTACTGCTACTACCTGCTACCTGCTACTGCTACTGCTGCTCTACTGCTGCTGCTACTGTTACTTGTGCTGCTACTGCTACTTCTTCTCTACTTCTACTTCTATTCTACTGCTGCTGCTGCTGCTGCTGCTGCTGCTGCTGCTGCTGCTACTACTACTACTACCACTACTACCACTACTACCACTACTACTCCTACTACTACTACTACTACTACTACTACTACTGCTGCTACTGCTACTGCTACTGCTACTACTACTACTACACTGCTGCTCCTCCTCCTCCTGCTGCTCCTGCTACTGCTTTTTTCTTGACAGGTTCACTAACTAATACTGCAGTGGGGTTTACCATGACAATCCCCCCAGGAGTTTTTTTTTCGACAAGTGATTAGTAGTATTACTACTACAGTCTCCTGTTTCCCTTACTACTACTGGTTTAGCCTATGTCTACGTTTACGCTGACTCCCTGACTGGCGAACCCCTTTCTTGATTAATCGCGATGGCTACTCCGCTCGGCCTCCACTCCGTAGCCCTTGCCCTGGAAAACCTGCCAGGCATGGAAGGCTCTTAGGACCTAGGGGATCTTCAGGGCTTTTTGGTTTTGGTCTTCGGGTCTAGGGATATGATGGACGACGAACTCCTTCGTTACATTTCTCTCGAAGCCTGTAGCCCGACACCTCAAGTGCTATCCGCGCAAGAATGCTTTCTATACGCGCACGCGTAATTCTACAAGGATAGGAATCTGAATCTGCTATCCAAGCATGTGCTTGTTTGCTTACTTACTCACGGTTACTGACCGACGTACTTACTCACTCATCCATTTATGTGCCTGTCTAAGGATCTTACAAGTATGGAATTGGTTTTCGTTATTTATTTTCTTATATAAGAGACATGCTCCGCACTACAATTGGACGGTGGTGGGAAGACGAGTCGCACCCAGAACAGTTCGCAAGTGCCAAAGTATAATGAGTCACGGGCATGCAGGACCCGAAAGGGACTGTGGAAAGAACATGCTGTTGGCACCGCAGGGAAAGGGGCGCCTCGCCAACCCCTCTGCTTCCTTAACGGGAGGACCCCACAGCATTGCCACCCCATGTGGGGAAGAGCTCTCCATGCCTCCGGGGCCATGTAGTGCGGGGTGCCGACCTGGGCATTGTTCTTGAGGATGCTCTATGATTTATCTTCAACAACAGCCAAAGTTGGCGGTTGAGCCTGGGAGGTCTGGAATCAGTCTCAAGAAGTTCGGACCCCACAAAATGAAAGTGACGACCCAGCCAGGAACTCGCCCCATCACCCTCGGAGTCATGTAAGCTCAGACCAGGCCCGTAAACCCTGCCAGCATCAGGCGTTCTCGGTCTCGCGACTCTGTCTGATGCATACGGCGTACTGGGTTGGCTTTGAAGCTCAGGGGTTTACGAAGTTTACGAGATTGCTGTAGTTTTTCGCAACATCCCATACAAGCTACAAAAGATTTATTCGCTAAGAGGCAGGCCTCGTCATATTGAACACACTAGCGCTTCACAGCAACTTCGGGATTAAGGATAGAAGGAACAGTACTACAGGGTAAACTCGAAGAGCGAAAGAACGATCCTGTCAGAAACGGCATGTCGGGGCCCAGGCCACAGTGTAAGTGCGGCTCTCTCTGTCCCCAAGCTTCTTCGAGACCTTGGCGCAAAAGCCAAGTGTAGGTTTAGGGGTTTAGGGTTCGGTCAGGAACGGGATTCTTTCAGTGAGGCTCTAGAAATCGTCAGCTGACTGTTGCTGGCGGCGGCAAGGAGGCTCTGGGGCAAATGCTCACGGTGCGACCCGGAGTTTCGGCTTGGAGTTAAGTTGTGGATACGGCCTTTCGTTTAAGAGTCTAGGCTGGACGCATGGTTCGTATACTTGGGCATTGATGGGCTCAGGGTTCAGACAAACGGAAAGAGGGAGTGCTCTGCAGTTTGGAGTTGAGGCATCTGACTGAAGTCAGCGGGCCTTACTGCAACCCAGCGCCCGAGGCTTCCTCAACTCCCAAAGCTCTTCAAGCCCCCGTCCAAAGAATTAGGCAAAAACAGCGATAAGCGATAAGTGCTTGCTCTCTCTCTCTCTCTAAGACTCTCCCCCCTCTCTCTCTCTCTCTCTGCCTCTCTCGCTCTCTCACACTCTCTCTCTCTCTCTCTCTCTCTCTCTCTACTGTCAACCACCAGACTAAGAAACATGCAAGCCAGAATCACGACCCCCACAACGACTGCAGTTTCAACAGTGAAAGCAAATCAGCATAGCCAGCCACCACCCCCAAACCCTAAAACCTCAAACCCCAAATACGAAACCCAAAACTCCAAAACCCCGACCCTAAACTCCCACGCAAAAACCTCAAGACAGCCGAGGAGATCACTCCAAAGTCGATGATCTTGACGTAACCCTGCGGCCGGCTAAGCGCTCTTCGGAACCGAGCAAGGGCTTGACAGGGTGCTACGCGCGTTTTTTTTAATACTGGGTTTAGGGTTTAGGGTTTAGAGTAATTGGTCACTGATCAGGCCTTTTGGTTGGACTTCTGGGGTCTGGAAAACGAAGCACTGAAGCTGCCCGCACTTTCGGTTGTTGAGCGGCAGTGCGGTCATACGCAAGGGGCATCTTCTGGTTGTGTCAGGATTTGGGGTTCAGGGTTCTGGGGTTGGGTTTTTGCGGGTTCGGGATCGAATTAAGGTTTAGATTTAGAATTTCGGGTTTCGCTCTAGATACTTTGAGCCCGAGACCCTCCAAACACTCGAAACTTTTACACAAACTCTGGAACGTAAACCAGAATCTGCTCTTGCTGCTGTTCAATGATGCTCTGGTGGCATTGTAGCGAGTGTCACTGCTCCTGCTTGTGTTGCTAAACCCGCTCTGCTTCCGGCACCCTAAACCCTAAAATTCCAAACCTCCTTAGATGCCGTACGGAAGCCATAGAGGAACCACACAAAACCCTGCAAAACCACAGTAAACCTTAAATTCCCGTCCCCGCCGCTGCCTCCTGGTCGAGCATCACATTCTCCGGCTTGAGGTCTCGATACACGACCTTGTTGGGTTGAGGGCTTTGGGTTTACGGTAGGGTGTAGGGTTGAGGGCTTCGGGTTTAGGGCTTGGGGTAATATTGTTTAGGGTTTAGGCTTGGAGGGTTTAGCAAGGAAGGTTGTATAGGGTTTTAGGAGACTTTGAAGGCTAACCAGAGTTTCTTTCAGGGCTCTGTAAAGGATGCCTAGGGGTTTGGGTCTTGGGGTCTTGGGTCTGAGTTTACACTACCGGGTCTATTGGGTTTCAGGGTCAAAAGTGGGACAATGCAGTTCCTTCTTGTTTTCAACACGGTGTGGGTGTTTGGGCAAAGTCAGTCGCACAAGTACTAAGCCGAGGCAATGTCCTAGCATTTCCCCGATGATGCGGATGGTGATGGTGATGATGATGATGATGATGATGATGATGATGGTGGTGATGGTGGTGATGGTGGTGATGGTGGTGATGGTGGTGATGGTGGTGATGGTGGTGGTGGTGGTGATGATGATGATGATGTCTGTTCTTGGGATTCGTACTGTATGGGTTTGAGATCCCAGACCCCCAATCCTGAGTCTCCCACACCCCAAAACCCAAATCCTACCCAAGCCCTGCATCCTCGTGCTTCAGCAGTGCCAGAGAACCGCCTTGCCAAACGCACAACGATTTGCCACAGACTCTCAAGCCACAACCCTACTTTGCCCTAGACCTAAAACTTGCATAGATCCTAAACCCATTGCTGCCGGCGGGCATTGCGATCCCACAGTGCCTCCACCGCAATCAGGATCGAAGCCGTGTAGAAGCGAGCCATCTGGGCGATCTTGAATTCAGGGTTTGGGATTCGTCATGTTGGCTTATGCTTTTCAGGGCTAGGATTGATGGCTCAGAGTTTGCGGTTCGGGCCGTATCTACGCTGTTCGCACGTTGCAGCGCACGGTGCAGCTGTCAGTTTTGGGTGTGCCGTTCAGCTGGGGCTTTCCGCTGTGGATTGTTGTGAACGTTGCGATGGTGATTTGGGGGACTGACAAAGCAGTGAGGCATCAACTGTCTGTTTATGGAGGGGCTTTCTACCCCAATTCGACATGCGAAAGAGCTGGCAAGGTTTCGACAGGCGTGAAGCTACGTGGAAACATACTGTTAACGCTCATGAGGGTGCTAGTGATTCAGAAAATGCCTTCGTTTAGAGCGCTCAAGCTTTTCCGCCTCTGGGTCATGTGTCTGGGTCAGCGCTACCATCTCGCTGAACGAAGATCGAAGATCTGGCTTCGTGGCCAGGTCTGTACAGTCATGCTCGCCATTCGTCGTATCCAGTCAAGGGCGGCCACACATGCAGCTTCAAAGTGCGCACAGTTCGCCCATCCTTGCGCCAATATCCCTAAACCCTGAACCGTGAAAATTCCGCTTAAGAGCAACTTTCGATCGCGGGGTCTGCAGCTACATAGCACGGGAACATATAGTAAGCGAAAGACATATATGTCCGTCATATAAACTTGGTGCCTTACCATATAACCTCAGATGTGACTTGTCGTGACATCAACGTATGTGCTTCTATAACCCTAAACCCCAAACTCTGAATCCCGAACCGCGCCCTAAACCTTAAATCCCAAACCGTACACCCGATTGCAGTAGCAGGAACATGTAGAGATGACTTGTTTGCTGCTCTTCGTGGGGAGGCGGAAGCCTACTTGGCTTGGGTTTAGGGCTACGATTGTTGGTCAAGGATCTTAGGGTTGAGAGCTTTTTGGTCAAGGATTTTAGGGTTGAGGGCTTTCGGTAAAGGATTTTCGGGTTGAGGGCTTTGGGGTTTAGGGCTTCGGGATTCGAAGCAAAGCAGAACAAGTAGAAGCCCACACCTGTATTGGGCATCTTGACACCTTCCGTCGTAGTTATGGTTTTGGGTTTGGGAAGTTCAGGGTTTAGGGCGTAGGATTTCGGAGCTGAAGTCTCGCTGTGGTGAGCTGGCAAGCTTCAGGGTCTCAGGCATCTTCCTATGACTATGTACAAGCTTGCAGGAGGGCTACATCAGATCGATCCACAAAGAAGCTCCAGCAGGCACCCTTGCGATTTAGATGGTAGGTCACTATGCTATGTCGTGTGCCTGCCTGTGGCAGAATACGCACAATTAGGTGCATAAATGCATTGATGCGCATGCTCCCGTGCGGCGGCTTGACAGGATGGATGCAACAGAAACTCCTCGCTTCCATTGATCAGGAAGACACGAAAAATTGCAGGGTCTGAGAGGAGGTAGGCTTTGGCATTTGAGCCATTTGGCAAGACATTTACTTAGCAGCTCATCCCCAGCATTTGGCGAACCCAACTGGCGAGACTCACGCCCAAATCAAATCTGCCGAGAGCTGCTGCACTCGTTAGCTTGGGAACAAAAGAGCAGCACAGGATGCAGAAAGCAGCAAGCTGTCGTACATGTTGGTCGGCCTCTGGCCGTGGAAGCAGTCGCAGGAGCAGCAGCAGCGGCAGCAGTGGCAGCAGCAGGAGCAGTTACCAGAGTGGACAGTAGGAGTCGTAGTGGCAGCACTAGAAGCAGTAGCAGTAGCAACAGCAGTCCCTAAACCCTAAAACCTAAACCCTAAAGCCTACGACGCAGCAAAGGCAGGAGCAGGAGCAGTAGAAGTAGTAGCAGGAGCAGATCACTTCGGCTGCCTGCACGGAATGGCACAACCAATCCACCCCGAACACTCCCCCTAAAATCCTCAAAGACAGAACGAATTGTTAGCGATGCCACTCTCGAGTCTACCTTCTCTCGTAGCGGCACAAGAGTGCAAGAAGCAACGGGGCGGATCAAGGGATTGTAAACCCGATGGCAGTTCATGATACTTACAATCGAACAAAGCTAGCGACGGGATAGCGGCCGTCGCGATGAACATCGGCGCTCTCCAAGGCATGCGTCGGGCCAATCTCAACCTACTTACCGGCAACATGACCATCAGAAGTAAAACACGTAGTACTTAGTAAGCACACTTCAGACAGTAAGGCGCCACACCTCAACCACCCAAGCAACCCCCCTCTTGCTCAAAGCATTGCCAAGCCAGGCCCGGGGTCAGGCTAGAGGAACCCGCTGACTCTTGAGGTTATGGGGTTGGAGATTCTGAAGCCCAGGGTTTGGTGTTTCGGGTTCAGGCTCTGGGTTGCGGTGTAGTTTAGGGTTTAGGGGCTAGGGTTGAGGGGTTAGGGTTGAGGGTTTAGGGTTTAGGGTTTACGGCGGACTGGGGTTTGATTGTCTACAGTTTGGCTCCAAACTCAAGCCGCCTATCTCGCGCCTACCCCTGAATGCTGCAAAGGCCTCAGGCCTTGCCATCCTCAGCAAAGCCCTTGATCCGTAAATCCCAAAAAAAACCTTCGAAGCCCTTTCAAAAGCCCTTAACTGGCCCAAATTCCTACATTTAACACCCTCCACACTACCGTAAAGCCATGATAGCCCTGGTTCACTGATGGTAACCCGAAATCCTACACACAAAGCCCTAAATCCCAAACCCTTCGGCACTAAACCCTAAATGCACCCGAACCCGAAATCCCTGTCACCGTCGGCCCCGTTTTGCCCCCGGCTTTAAAAGGCGGCTCAGAGCTTGGCTGCCGGTTCCAGGCCCTGGTAGGTGCGCCTTTGATTGAAAAAAAGTGTCTGTAGGTTATGAAAAAAAGGGTCTTTAGGTTATTACATAGGTGTTTAGAATGTGTTCAGGGCTTAGGCTTGGCGTTTAGGGTTTAGGGCTCGGGGTTTAGAGTGTTGAGGGCTGAGGCTTGGGGTTTGGGCTTTGAGGAATAGGGTTCCGGGGTTTGGAGGGTTTCAGGAGCTGTTTGGTGGGTTTGGGAAAGTTTCAAAAGGATTTTTGCGGGGTGTGATCGGTACGTGCAGGGTTTCATCAAGTCTTATGGAGATGCAAAGCATGCTTGGTGTGTCATGTCATTGTGTACAGTAGTTTTCATGGTGGCTTATAGTGGGCTATCACATGGTTGTGTTTGGGATTCCCGTACATGAAGCCACATGTGGGTGCCAAGGTCCGCTTCAAGCCCACCG